ATTTTTGTGCCAGAAGTTCCTGATATTAGCGTGGATGGATCTAAAAACAATTCAATGTTGTATCATGGTTAAAAGTTCAAAAACGTTGCAAAATATGTCTTCTATAAGCAGTAGAAATCCCAGCCAACAGCCTTATGGGGACTATCAGACCTGGCAACCAGATTTGACTTTGAGCGAAAGTGTGCATATAATAATTACTGCATATACACCTTAGCGTCAAAACTGAAAAGTACATGCCGTGCTTCCGGGCTCTGGTCTCCGTCTTTATAATCGGAACATGGGTCTGCTTTCTGTCAGAACATTACAAAACAGCAGTCACTCCATACGTCTCCATAACGACACATTAGATACTTAGAGGTGCCAGATATGATGGATTTGAAGTGAAAATATCAGAGTCAAGAGAGTCAGTAATTTGCAAGTTGCCCACACGATAACTGAACTTTATTCTGACGGATACTTCAATCATGTTTGAATGTTGCCGTATTTCTGTTGCAAGGCTATTATTTAAGAAACACCATGTGTCTATAATGGAATGCCCTCACAAACCTCTATAGCTATAGCTCCAGTCATGTATACTCTATTTAGGGAGACAGAAGTGGGCCCATTCAATCAGGATTTATTTTGTCAAACAGAAGGGGTAATGAGTAACATATAAGAATAAAAAAAAAAAATGTAATTATTATTAAAGACAATGACAAAGCAGACAAATGCCCATGAAAGGACCAGCCATAAGCAAAACAATGACATAATAAAGCTGGCAGAATCTTTCATGCTTGATTATAAATTTTACAAGGCATTTAAGTTAACAAAATACTAATCTATTTGCAAGACCTACTAAGCACTGAAAATAATAGCACCTATTTCATCAAAATGTGGTAACCATACACGAGAACTACACATAACAAATGTAAAAGTAGCACAAATATGTTCTGCAGATGAAAACAGTGTTTGTGGTGAAGGTTGTGTGATTCCTGGGCCAATCTACAGGAACCAAAAACTCTCAAAATTCCACATATTGTCTAGAAATGGTGACATTATGTCTACTAGTCTACAGTAGACACGTGGGTTTGTGAAACTAACCACTCTCAAATAATGATCTTGAAAATCTTGTAATGGCGGTGAAATATGACACTCGATCAGGAACACAAACTATAACAATCTGCGTAACAAAGATACTGTGAAGCTTCCAGACAAATAAATAATTGACCAGGGAATGTGATGTTTGATGAATGATTTTGCAGGAGGACTCCAGTATGACAGAGGAGACTTTCCTCCTCCAGGCAGATTGTTTTTACACTGCATATACAGCTCCGGTATGAGAAGAATGCAGGCTGTAGATCCTGTGAGCTCACACAAGGCAAGAGTACGTCATGTGATTCACAGTTTTCACTTGCTCCCATTTTCTGATATAATATAACATATTATTGGACTATGCTTTGGTAATCTGCTGTGGTCGAATGATAAGAGCATGTTACTTATTGAATATGGTTAAATAGATGCAGTTATACAACAACATTGTGAGAGCAGTGGTTGTGCCAATTTGAGTTTTGTTAAAAAGAAAAAACTCAACCTTCTCTATTGAAGAAGATTTATTTTTTAATCTGAATCAATTCAAAGCTTTCTTCAGATGAGGAAGGTAATAACATTACAAACAAGCCACATGAGGAAGTCACGTGACGCTTTGCATAATGACAGCATGAAGGTCTCAGCATACTTCTCCAAGGCTCTCCAACTGCATGAGACCAATCGCAGCCCCGGCCGTCCCCGAGCGTTAACCTTCCAGTCCGTTGATGTCTTCTAAGTGGACAGTGGAGATGATTGTGGACTTCAGGAAGAGCACTGTCCCCCCGCCCCCACCCTCCGTGATGGACTCCCCCATCACCTCTGTGGAGTCCTTCCGTTTCCTGGGCACCACCATCACCCAGGACCTCAAGTGGGAGCCGACCATCAGCTCCCTCATCAAGAAGGCCCAGCAGAGGATGTACTTCCTGCGGCAGCTCAGGAAAGCCAAGCTGCCTGCACAGATGTTGGTGCAGTTCTACACGGCCATCATCGAGTCCATCCTCACCTCCTCCATCACCGTGTGGTTCGCTGGAGCCACAGTCAGGGACAAACAGAGACTACAGCGCATTGTGCGCTCTGCAGAGGAAGTGATCGGCCGCCGCAGCCTTCCATCGCTGCAGGACCTGTACGTCGCCCGAGCTCGAGGCCGGGCTGGTCGTATCACAGCCGACCCCTCTCACCCTGCACATGGACTATTCCAACCACTCCCCTCAAGCAGGAGGCTGCGGTCCATCAGGACTAGAACCTCCCGCCACAAGAACAGTTTCTTCCCCTCTGCTGTTGGACTCTTGAACACTTCTTAACCTGTCCCCCCGCCCTTTATAAAGTCACTTTACTGCCCATCATACGTCACTTTACTTCACTGTACTGCTGTCACCTTACATTGTGTGCACCATGTGCACTTGTATATTGTAAATAGTAACTGTAACTCTATTTTAAATTTAAATTTATTCTTTAGAAGTGTTTTTTATTCTTATTTTTATTATCTCTTTTTGACTGTTGCACTGAGCCAAAGCAATTTCCAAGTCTGTGACCTCCCGTTACTTACGTTGGCAATAAAAATGATTCTGATTCTGATTCTGATTCTAAAAACCCTGAAGATGGAGACTCTCCATCAGTCCCCAGAGTAAGGCCACTCACGAGTATGACACAGGCTTGACAAGCCGAGTAACAAGAGTGAAGCTCTGACCATTAGGGCTTTTGCATGTGCTCTTTTCTTTCGTTTCGACTTCTTTATATCGTTATTCGTGTGAAAACCCTCTTTGACCAGAATTATGTTGCGTACCTGAGGTTCTGGGTACATTGTGTTGTGACTTTAGAAGACTGATTATGATAGACCCTTTTATGTATTGCTGACACGTGCCCGTCTTCCCCGAGGTGAAAAGCCGACACTCAAAAAAGCCTTTTTACACATCAGCTTTTCCCACTGATGTCCCGGGTCAAAATGCACATGCTGCAGTGGGACTCTGAAAACTTCTTTCAAAGTAGTAACAGCATCGTAAATGCACAGCCATATAAATTACTTAAACTTGCGCAACTTTAACGCAAATTAAAGCCGTCATTTGCTTGACCAACTTTACTTGTAGTTTTTTTTAAATATGTGGCCACTGTTAGTGGCATTAGAAAAACGACAGAAAAGCAAAAGGCCCGAATGGATGTTAACAAACTTCTGAATGGAAAGTTTAGTTTCAAAATGTTGCCAGATGAATTGACTGACAAGACCAAAGGCATCTGTGTGTATTGTTGGTGTGAACTAGTTAGTTGTCACTGTAGCAGATCCACACCATAGACTACTTTGCCACTCTATTTTGTATCACCCAGACAGGGAAGTTGAAGGGAATGTTATGTTATACCTCTGTTTATTGACAGCATTGACATTTCGCATCACGTTTTCAATTTATATAAAAACGTTCACAATGAATTATCACAAAAATGTGAATTCAAAGGACATAGACAGAATAGACACTAATAGATACAAATTTGCAATTAATCCTGAGTTAAATATGACATTCATGCGATTAATCTCAAATTTAAAACAAATATTGTTGGACAGCACAATTATCAATATAGCAAATAAAGGCTTGATAAATCTCCCTGAGTCTGTCATGTATAAGTCTCACAAGTTGAATTATGAAGGAAATTGACTTTTAAACAATTTTCAGAGTTTAACCTGTAACCTTCGAGCTGCAAGAGACAATCTAACAACTTAGAAAGTCGATGGTTGTGGGGCGTGGCTGTTTCCACAGAGGCTGCACACAGCTGGGAAGATAGAGCAGGTGTAGGACATCTGTTAAACTGGACGCAGGTCACACAAGAGGATGTGCAAGAGCTACACACTTCCCTGCACAAAGTCTTACCGTAACAGTCATGTGAGGCTCATGTGAGGAGCTTTGATGACGCTGATACACTCTGGCCGTTTATTGTAAAGATGCAGAAATACAATGGGCCATTTACACAGCTGCACATGCAGGTACTGCACCCTTTTCACTGCAGTGTACTAGCTAATATAGAGTAGGCCTATGAGATTACAGACATGTCCTTTAACTCGTCTTAACCTGATTAGTTGGTTACTCAATTTTAAGTAGCACTGGCCCTTGACATGTCTGTCCTGCACTCTATAGAAGCACTGCAGGCAATGTGAATACATATTTATCACCTGGTCAAGGTTGACCCCAATACATAGCGTTTTACACCCAAAAAAAAAAAAATGTTTTAGAAAAACAATGTAATTGATTAAACTGATTGATTGTATTAACCAAAATAAATTGTTGAAAACACAACCATAGTACCTTTGTACTATTCACCTGAGCTAGTTGTAAAAGTGTCTAATGTGGCCACCTGCATTTGAAAGCCTATATCAGACTACAGAAGCTAAGCAGGGCAGAACCTGTTGTGTTCTTAAGCAAGACACTTTGCCTGTATGAGTCTGGTATGTCTTGCTTCCGCCAATCTACCCCAGGGCAGCTGTGACTACAGTAGTAATTTGTCACCAGAGTGTGTGGAGAGAATGAACTCAAACATGAATACTTACCGTTTCAAACCTATTTTCAATGAATGTATCATTAGGATGGACTGTCTGCGCGGACATCCGGCCTCTGTAAACATCGCGTATCTATGACAACATGATAAAGCGGCGCGTGGGAGGCTGGGAGCCAGACGCAGCTGAAGTTCCAATATGTCATCGCGTAATGTCATGTCATGTAATGTAGTGTAATCTTAAGTCATGGCGGCATGGGCGCGCTGATAGGCTCCACGCGCTGTGAGGAGGGGCGTGAGCGCGTCATGGGGCTATATGTACCGTGAGTCCGAGCGGGAGCACAGAGAAGCGCTCAGCCGCACACACGCGCACGCACAGACCACACGCTTTGGGACATATCTATTACGCACGCACTCAGCGGAGACTCTCAGCGGACTCAGCCACACCAGAGTTTGGAGCCATGCAGTCAGTGTGCCAGCACGTCCTTAGCCTGCTCCTGGTCATCAGCAGCCTGTCCACACATCTCACAGACGGCTGCTCGTGCGCGCTCACGCACCCGCAAGACGCCTATTGTAACTCCGACATCGGTGAGTGACGTGGTTTCAATATTATTATCATTTCTCCCGCGTCCACGCTCATTACACACGCTGCTCAATAGAGTGCTGCGTAGTGTCGGGAGCCCCAGATGTCCCCATGGACGGACGCTGGCTCCATCACATGTGTTTCTTTACAGCTCATGAGAACATAGGAGCGACATATCGCAGACATGTACACGCTACTTGTGGAGCGTTTGGCATTGACGCAGCGGAGGTGGCATGAGGCACGTTGGGAGAAAACTTGGAAGAGCGCATGAGTAAAAAATGCAGGGACAGACAGTGTTGGGGTGAATACTTCCAAAAAGCCTTCAGTTAAAGAATACTGAATACCTGCTTTAAAATGTAATTTGTATGGTCCAAAAAATAGATACTGATACCAAACTTCAGATACTGCTGTTTTCATTAGTATTGGTATCATTACAGTGTAATGCGGCAATAGATGAAAACAACTTTGTTTTGGCCTCATTTGCGCACATCCCTAAGAGAGTTTTTGGAATATCTTGTTGAATTGGAAATATTGAAAAATATTTTCCAGAAAATGTAAATGATTTTGAATTGCAAAAGTATCTAATACAGTACACTCAAAAACAGTATTATGAGTATGTATTTCCGTTACTTTCCAACATTAGATATGAGTCAGTGAATAATGACACGAGACAACATAATGTAAAAGGAAAATGACCTTTGTCTAAGTATCATCTATGTATGTTTAATGTGGGGGAAAATGGTTCCCAGCCTTCGGGCTTTTTTTGTCAATGGGACTGGTATGTAGACAAAGGCACATTATATGGTCTGTAATAAAGAAGAAATGTTGATAATCGATAGGTGGTTTAGGTCCAGAAAGAGAATATGGGATTTTTGGTTATGGTCACTGAGAACATCTTCATGCATGACTTGTTACACCTTGGGCTGTTTGATTAAAAATACTTTGTAAACAGATTTTCATAGAACAGTCATCATAGAATTATCTGAACCAAAAACCTCTTCTCAGCATATTTAATTAGGTCTGTGTACGTTTTAGGCAACCATCAATGACTAAATTAGATACTTTTAAAATAATCAATTAGTTGCGATGAATTGGTTCACTTGTTACTGCCCTACATATCATTAATTGATTTCGACCTCTACAAGGCTTTTACTTCATCTACTTTATTGCCCTATATCTCTGCTCAACCCGCCCAGTTGATAGACCCTGTGTCCAAACAGTCAGTTTACATAGCTGCTTTTGTGCTTGCCTGTACTCACACCAACTCCTCCAATAATAATAATACAAGCTTACCTTTAGAATTATGGTGCAGCATTCTGACCTGCCCTCTCTGAACTGCAAATTATATTAAAAAACAGGGGCGGTTTATGAAGCCATGGTAAAAGTGACATTTTGGCCAATATTGTGAGGCGAGAGTTATTGGAATGAGAGAGAGTCATGAGGCACTAAGCCACGCTCAAACAATCCAGTCTCAGAGTAAACTACATAGCACAGCTCTGGTGGAGCCCATGTGTGCACTGAGCAGTTTGTCAGCCCACTGCAAGCAGAAATGAGAATCTCTATAAAATAAATAGGAAAATCTTGGAAAGTAGCTTCTCAAGTACCCTGTTGAAAGGAATACTTTTTACAGAAATGGCACAAAATAGTTGGAGAGGCGTTTATCATCAAGAAAAATCTCAAAACCCTGTATATAGTTGTGAAATATATTGTATACTGAAGCTTTGACCTTGCTGGGAATGCTTGTAAAACAGATGGTTATCAAGCCGTGTGACTTAGTACTACATACACAAAAGGAATATGGGGCTGTTATAGTGATACAAGCCTATTTTAAAGCTGTGGATTCATAAATAATACATGTCTTGTAAAAGTAAAACCATAATCTATCAGACTACATTGTGCTGATTTCATCTTAATACAGACTGTTATCTTTTGCATGCATGACAAAGAGTGAGTGAGCCCTGTGAGTCACTATTTGACGCTTTGAGTTGAGAGCTGATTGGCTGAGTGAGGGGAGTGCTCTCTTTTTCTGCCTGAAAAAGTTGATTTGTAGATGTGATAGAAGCCAAAATGTCATGCATGTGAAAACAATAAAAATGACAAAACAAGTGCGAGAAACTAGTTACATGGACTTGTGTGGTTTTAAATGTCTAAGAAACGGTTTTACTTTGTCATTTCATATTTCAGAATGTGAAATAATGTGAAATGATTTCAAGTAGAAAATCAAGGACAATTAATGATATTGGCCTGACCTATCCCTATGCTACCACCAGAGGGAGGTGTAGAATTTGTCTTTCTAAATCCGTTTGCAAAGAACATAATTTCAATTGATACATTCAATTTAATTTAATTTTTTGGGTTAGAGGGGTTGCAATCTGCCACCCAATTCACAATGCACCAGTTCCGCACTGATCTGCTGAAGTGTCTTGCCCAAGGACACAACTACAGCAGACATCGGTGGGAGCAAATTACATGGATTGTGGTGGGATAGAACCATAGACTGTAAATATTAACAGATGTAGTCACGCCTATCTCCCCTGTTCAAACTAATACGCCACCACTTTCGCCGTCTATATGGCCAGTTTCTCATTTGCGCATGCCTCATTCATTTAACAAGTGCCTTCAAAATTTCACAGCGGCCAAACTAAACTGGTCCAAAAAAATTCACTCCTCCCTGCATTGACACACAAAAGCCGACTTTTGGACCATCCTGTAAAGTCGCTTTCGTGAGGTAAAAAGATGCTATACATTAGTATTGAATAATTCTTATTCTGGTTCCACCCCCATCGGCCCGGGGTGGTACTGCAAGCATGTCAGCGCACGTCATTTTTGATGTTTTTGAGCCAGGACCCGCCCCCACTAGATAGAACCCATTACCATTAGGTCCAAAGAACAATGCTCTACCAACTGAGCTACTGTCGCCCCTTGTAAAATTACTAAAATGAGTAATTCATGGGCATACTGAGCATGATGCCATAACGGTGCATACACTTTGCTGGTGCTTCCTCACAGGGACGCTTGAGAGAGAGCACATCACCCCTGTGCTGGCCTCACTTCACTGGCTCCCTGTTACATTCAGGGTTGATTTTAAGATTCTGATGCTTGTTTTTAAATGTTTAAATGTTTTGGCCCCTGTATATCTGTCAGAGCTGTTATCTCTGTACGCTCCTGTCAGATCATTGAGGTCAGAAAACCAGCTTTTGCTGGACGTGCCCCAGTCTCGTCACAAAACTAATGGAGACCAAGCCTTTTCTGTTGCTGCCCCCAAACTGTGGAAGAGTTACCTCTGTACATTAGAGCAGCTCCTTCATTGGAGGTTTTCTAATTTAGTCTAAAGACACATTTTGAGGCATTGGCTTTTAACATAAACTGAGTTTTACCAATTTACGTCTAAATGTATGTGTATATATCTTATGCTTTATTCTTTTTTATCTTTTGTGCCTGTGAAGCACTTTGGGCAGCTGGTGTTGTTGTAAATGTGCTTTACAAATAAAGCTGATATTGACATTGACATACTTTTTCAAGACGACTGAGATAAAAGCTTTTAGACAGAAAGGTAGATGTTAAATGTCTGTGCCAAAATGTGCTGATGTTAGCGTGGATGGAGCTGTCTTTGATGAGGGAACAATGTTGCAATGTGGTTAAAATAGAAATTAAAAAGTTGATTAGAATAGTAAGTCAACATTTGTAAACATAAAGTCATTATAACAAATAAAAACATAGTCCCTTCATTGGATGGCACTATGTAAATTGCGCATGCTACACACTTAGAGCCAGTACCAAGCCAAGTGACCTAGTTGGAGCAGGCTCAAAACTCCATTCAATGCATTAGAGTATTAGGGACTATAGTGTTGAATGTTGGACCAAGAATGGAGACAGTAATCCTATTGAGGAGTTTCGGCCTTAGCGCTGGGTCAGTGCACATTTCAGGTTAGACTAATGAACGGATAACTGAGACAGGATATCTTTGACTATACTTGGAGCTGATTGTGAAAAAAGCCACTTACGTTCTGGTATCCTTCAGGTGCTGGTTTTTTTGCCTACCAAATTTGTTAGGATAATTTTTAGGGCGGCACGGTGGCTGAGTGGATAGCACTCTCACCTCTCAGCAAGAAGGTCCTGGGTTCGAATCCCGGTCGGACCAGAGCCTTTCTGAGTGGAGTTTGCATATTCTCCCCGTGTCTGCGTAGGTTTCCTCCGGGTACTCCGGTTTCCCCTACCACTAAAAATATGTCCAATAGTTCTGGCATGTGCCTCCTGTACTGGCGACCCCGCTCCCATCTCTGTGTGGAGTGAGAGACAAATGCCCAAAAAAAATTAACAATTGTAAACCGCTTTGAGACTCAGATCTGCAGTGAAAAGGCGGTATATAAATAAAGATTACTTACTACTACTACTACTTTTGTTTGAAAGAAAACTTCAACAATGAAAATGTATATAGGAAAATTGCTGAAGATTAGATTTTTGATTTCCGTTGATAATCAAGTCAGATCAGTGATTTTATGAATATATAATAAATGTAATTTGAGTACAGTTTATGATTATGGCTTGAATTGAAGATTTGCACTTCCTGTTTAATTCAGTCTGTGAATTTGACAAGTAAAATAAACCTATATAACATGATCCTAACCAAAATTTCATGTGTTGGCAACAATCACTGCCCCAAAATGGAAATTTTTTTCTACAGATGTCATGGCAGTTGGTGAGATTTCTCACCACAAACATACAACAATACAATAGTCATTAGAAAAACATATGGCACTGGCTGAAGGTCAGTTTTGTAACAATGCAGATGACAGATGGAAGGCAATCTGAACTGCTCTGCAAACACTAGCAACTAAAATAAATTATTACTACAATAGTTTTCAATTTAAAATACTGTGGGTTGAAGAAGAGCTATAATCAATAACTATTACCTCTATTACATGAGTGTGGGAAAGATTGTATATGAATTAAGATAGCCCTTAAATATAATTGGAGCATTTAAAACACATTAACATTATTCAAA